ACTTTTTCGTTTTAACAATTAGCAATGGTAAATTGAGGCGACAATTTGATTTAGGATCGTGCTCGTGAGTGGTGACACAACATCAGCATTTCTGCTAAGTTGGGCCTGAAAATATGAAATGAATGGACTGAGCTTAGTATGGTGGCATGCAAAATAATAATAATAATAATAACAAAATCAGAAAACAAAACAAACATTTTCATGTGTGGATGCTTTACTATAAATATGAAGTTAGTTGGGATTCCTTAGCACAATTGGAGAAAATCATTTTCATGCTGATAAATCAAATGGGGATAAAAGTCAAAAGTTACATCAAATTGGAAGGTCAAATGAATTATTGGACTAGAAGGATAAAAAAACGAGTAAATGACTAAAAATTGACACGTTGAACTAATAGCTAATTGGTTATAAGCCTACTGTTACTATTATTATCTAGTAGTTTATGTATATCAAATAGTGATAATTTATGTATTCATATCATATTTTATATAAAAATTATGTATCATTATTTATGTTGATTTAAAAAATAAAAAATAAATTTTTATTTTTATTAAACATATATATGATTATTGTTAAAAATTTTAAATTATATTATTTTTTTATTATTTTCATATCATATGATCGTATCATATTTTAAATTATTAAACATTCAATTTTTTTTTAGTTTTACTCCATTCAATGATGGTGGCCAATGCTGTGGAGATTTATATGCAAATGTGCTAATAATATTGTTTTGGCCCCAATGGAGGCTTTAGTGTGGAAAGAAAGCATATTCACAGCTGTGTAAAAAAAGAATGAATCTTCGCTACACCGGCCACAATCATCCAACAGCTTTGTATTATTTATTTTTTAAGATGGATTTTTTTAAATTAAAATTTTTTAAAATTTGTATGTAACTTACCATTGAATAAATTTTTATATAGCACTTCATATCTTAGTTTTTTTCCTATTTATATATATATATATATTTCATTTTGTTGATTAGGTTTTTTTTTTTTAGTATTATAATAAGATGTTTATTCATATAGCAGATATAAAGTCTTTATCAGCCACACCTGCCATAATTCTATTTCAAGTTAATACACTATCTTCCATTTTTCGTTGCCAAAAATGCAAATGGAAATTCAGAGTACATCCTCAATGTTGTAAATATTATAAAATGATTGTTTTAAAGATGTTTCAATATTTTTTTTTGCCAAAATATTTTTTTAAATTCATATAGATGCATAAAATGCTAAAAAATGATGTCTGAAAGTTGATTAATAAACCTTTGAAATAAAAAAAAAAAAAAGTAAAGGGATATGAATGAATTTGGAAAACAATACAATGCTAAGCTTTAAAGGTAATGCGTGGATGATTTTGTGTTGAGCTTATCAAGATGTGAAATTAGAGCATGTGAACGCATCGCATGATTTTTGTTTTACGAATAAATTTATTTAAGACATTTGAATTTCATAAGTCGGACATTCGGGGATATTGCGACTTGAAGTGATATATAATATAAAATGTTAAATGAGTGAGCTTTTTAATCCTAAAATTTGTTCAATTCAAAGAGGAAAAAAAATTATTGAAATAAAACTTAAATAAACTTCATTTTCACTTGCATTATATTTCATTTTAAAATATTTCGTCCGCATGTAATCTTACCATCTCAATTAATAATATTTTTTCTACTGCCATATATCCTATCCATATATGTTTGAACTATCATAATTTTTTAATGACTTTTTAAAAATAAAATTTAATATGCAATTTTAACCTTAATTTGTGATTAATACTAAAGTTTTAGCATTGAACATTTGGTTCAATAATATATTCAAATTTTATCATGTGTGAGTTTAATTGTTTAATTATGTTTTAATTTATTAAGTGATTGTTCAGTAATTGTAACTTCAAAAATAGCATATACATCTATTATCTCATTCAAGAAGCAAATTCAAATATATATGTCAGAATAAAAAATAATAGTTTTTTTTTCTTACTTGAGATTATCTAAAATCAAACACTTATTACTAAAATAAGAAATGCAATACCCTACTTAAGAGCGACCAACCAATTGGTTTAATCTTAAAAAATAAAAAACCAACTTAATTAACCTCTTTTAAAAAATAATCAAAACTAATCCATATATTTTTAAAAGTAAATTGCATAAAATCATTTTATGATTTAAAAGGAATTTAAAATAATTTTTAAGATAAAAAATGCGATACATAATTATTTATGATTTTTTTTTTTGTCAAAAATCGTGTTCAATTTTTTTCTTTTATTTTTCTTCTTCTTCTTCTCCAACAAGTCACTTTTTCCTTTTACAGAGTTCTGGTTCGTCGGATAGTTCGCTCTTGCATTGCGAAGGCATGTCATCGTATCTCAGCCGAACAATCAAGTCGACAGCTATTGCTGCTAGTTTGAGCTTATTTGCTCGAGAAAGTGGAGCTTTGGCAACTGATGGCAGAAATGAAGCACGCCGGAGCCTGCATTGCAAAGAATCTTTGGCTCTTGCTTCTTTATTTCTTCTTCCATTACCCGAGCGTTGTTTCTTCATTCACTGACCTAAAATTTGAGAGAATAAAAAAAAAAAAAAAGGAAAAAGGTTTTGAAGTTTGAACCTGGAGCTAACTTTGACTGGCACTGTTTGTATTTGCTCTTTTTTACTCAAAAAGAGACGAACAACAGTGGTTTTTTTTTTTAATTTTTATTGAAAAACCAAAGTACAATAAAAAGATTGAACTTTGAAGTGGCGCAGAAAAGATGAAAGCAGCAAGTTCTATCTTAACAACTGCTTAACCTGGATAGTTTATACTTGTAGGTTGGAGTTTGTTTCGCGTCATGGCAAAGTAAGATTAGATGCTACCTTGAGATGATACTTAACGATCGCCGAGCAAGACTAGTATATATACCACACATCCACCAAGCAAACAACACCCTCACAAATGAGAAATGATGTCCTCGGGTCAATACCATGGAAGACAGCTGTTGCTGCTGCCAATGCAATGCCGCCTTTAACACAAATAGCATGAGAAATGCATGGTGTAGTCCAAGGGGTATCATCTCTCAAGTTCTCAATATTATGCCCAAAATGAACACATGGACAAAATAGTATTGTCCAGCCTACAAGGCAAGTTAATATGCCGTTTGGATTTAAAATAGAGAAAAAAGAGTGAATTGCTGGAGAAGAAGAAAAAAGATATTTGAAACTAACGAAAAAAGTTATAGTTTTGAATAAAAAAATAAAAAAATAATTCATAAAACAATTAAGTATTACATTTTTAATCTCAAGAATAATTTTAAATTCGTCTGGAATAATAATAAGGTGGTGTTATATAATTTATCTTATTTTTAATAATAAAAAATAATTGAACTGACATAAAATTAAATGGTTCAGTTGGAAAATAAAAAAAAATTTACCATTAATTTGCCACCAACTTTGAATAATAGTTTCATAAAATTTTCATCTAATAAAACTCAACTTATAATTTTCCCATCAATGTTGTATTTTTTAATATAAATTAAAAATATTATATTTATATTATATCATATATTTAAAACTTATTAAAAATATTAGTTAATTCAATTGATTCAATTATTAATTTTTAATTGAATTAATCAACTAAATTATTTTGTTTAATTGATCGTTATCAAAATAAAAATTATTTAAATCAATTTAATCAAATTAAATCCAAGCAATCAAATCAATTAAAACTAACTTATATTCACTTTTAACTCTACCCATAAATTACATAATTATATGCGCAAAGTGACGTTTTTATATATAAATTTTTATAACCCTGGAGAGTTGTAGCTGTAACTTTAATAGTATAGTTTTTTTATTATTTTATAATTCCATAACTCAAAATGGTAACCAAATTGTGTTTTACTCAAGAGAACATTTTTTTTATTTGTATATTATTTTTGGATAAATATTTCGGGACTAAATTCGTCCCTATATCTAGCATATCATGTGGCTTTGGGTTTCAACACGCTTTACTAACTTCGAATCTTTGATGACGCACCCAAGGGCATTGGCAACGGTGGTTGCAACTTCCACGGCTGGTTTTCTCACCAACAATTCGATTTTCTTGCCAACAATTCATCCAACATACCTAAAAGGCACATGGGTCGCGAGACCTGAACATTTCACCGCCGGGACGTCAACATCACGCAAGTGCTTGCTACCACTTAATAAATTATTAAATATAAAAATATAACAATTCAAATATTAAAAAAATGACAAATAATTTGATTCAAATATTTACCTAATTTATATTAATAATTATGTCAAAATAATAATAATAATAATAATAATAACATAAAAAATATATATTACAGGTAGATATTCATTTCGCATTAACTATTTTATTCTAAAATAAAGTAGGCAAACCATATTGATTTAGATTCTGTAAAAAATTTGAAAAAAAAAAATTATACCATCACCAACAACTTCCGTTATACTTGTAGAACATTGAAATAAAAAATTTAAATAATCAACTACAAAAGGAAAATCGCATACAATATATATATATATATATATATCTTCCATTTTAATTATGAAATCTAAAATTTTCATCATCAATGAATATAATAAATTTTTTATATATTATTCCTTGCATTGTTAATTTATTTTCATCCTAAAGATTTTATAAGTACTAAAATTTTTTTCATTTAAAATTTAGATCAAGAAAATATTATTCTCCTAATCATGATATAATCTTTTTTTTTTTTAATTTATTATAAAATCTTAAATATAAAAGTCGTCGGGTAAGTGTCCAAAACTTTATCATTTCAAATTTGTTTCAAGCCATAGACTCAATGGACGGAAACCGAATTATTGGCGAAACGCTCTGCCAAAAATGCGGAACAGATTAAAAAAATACCCATCCCACACGCGCTCATTCTACGCGTGTGCGACACCCACTATTGTAAGTTGCAACTCTCGAAAACACGTGAAGAGAAACGACGGCAGCAAGTCAGGACTCTTCCGGTGTATACATACGCACGCAAGTTCGTGACTTTAAATATTCACACGGGAAAGTGACATTATCAAAATTAAAAACAAAATTACAAAAACGGAAGGCCAATAAATTCAATGGTTACTTTATATAATAATTTCGAAGTTATAATATAATTTGATTGATTATTCTTTTTTGAGACTTGTTTTGGATAATAATGGCGAGCGAAGTGGAAAAGAAGGCGGTTTTCAATGCGGAGTCGGCGAAAGATGTGGTGAAGCAGTTGAGAGATAGCTTCGTAGCCGGAAAGACTAAAAGCTACGAATGGAGAAGGACTCAGTTGAAAGCCATGCTGAAGATGATGGAAGAGAACGAGCCGCAAATCGTCGCTGCTCTTCGTGACGATCTTTCCAAGCCGGAACTCGAATCCTCAATCTACGAGGTCAAAGCTTTTATTCATTGATTTTTATTTTTCGATGAATTTGTTTATAATTTGATATCGGATTAGCTTTTTTATTTAATTAATTTTAAAATGGATGAGGAGTAGAACTTTGTGAAGTTATTTCTTTAACTGAATCATAGTATAAGTACAGATTACCGAGTCAATAGGTATTAATGATTCTTGATTCGCAGTCAATTATAATAATAACAAAAATTTCAACGTTATAATTATTGAAATTGGATTTTAATTTTAATTTTTTAAAGTTTTATTATTAATAGTCGAGTACTCCAAATTATGAATATTCATGAAAGATTTGATCGTTTATAAATGGTTACTGATAAAGAACTTCAACTACTTCTTTGTCTCTAAAGCTATTTTTTTTTTTTCTACGAGTTTTTTGTTTGAAAAAGATTGTTGTTTAAAGCTAGTTGGTGCTGTCTATTTCCATTAATTTTTCCTTTTTTGGAGGTTATTTCATTTTTCACATATATATTTATATAAATATAAATTTTGCTCGAACCTTGTTTTGTGTCAAGCTCAAGCGAGAATCATGAAATTCATGAAGAAAGCAGTTAGGAAGTTTGGAATTGAGTGGTTCATTTTTTTAAAAAATTTTTTCCTGGCGTACAAAGATTTTAAAAGTGTTTAAATACGTTGAAATCTTGGTGGACACAAGTAGCATTTATGACATGCTATCAGTTGGCTTTTTCATTAAAAAGGTTGGTCATTTTTAAGACTTTACTAAAGAATAGCTAGTATATGATACTCGAAAGTTCAAAACTGCTAGAACTCAAGTACTTCAATATTTATTGCCAATCCAACCAGCACATTTTGTTAAAATCTGTATCCATAGGATAATTGTTTTTGTTCAGCCTTTTTAGTGACTGTTGATAAATCCTTTTATCAGTGAAGATTCTTCATAATTATTAATTATTTGGAATGTGGGATGTGTTTGGACTGTGGGGTGGATGGTTCCTGAGTTTACCATTAATTAGTTGAGATCAGGATTAAGAATAAGTAGTGATTGAAATTGAATGTAGGAATGTAGTAGATGGACGGAAACTGGAAAAAAAAGAGAGAACATGTGTTGCTATATAATTTGACAATTGGAGTTTTGGCTATTACAGATAGTCAGCTGTGAGGATAATTGTAATTGTGATTGATTAATGTGAGAATCCCTGAATAATAGGGAATTTAAAAGCTAGATAAACATTGATTATCTCAATTCTCAAGAGTACTTAAGGAGTTGTTTCAACAATAGGTTTATGGTAATAATTTTTTGCTACATGTTTGCAAGCAACAATATCCGAGCCAAATTCTTAAATCATATATTTCATTCTCTAGGTTTAGTTATAGAGGCCGATGGTTGGTTTACTTTAAGCTAGATGGACAGGTCATTCAAGTCAACATTCTGTGCTTAAGTTGATTAGATTTAATGGCTAATGAGTAATGAAGTTCAACATCAAGGAAATTCTCTTTTGAGGTTTCCTAAATGATTGTTCCTGGTGCTAGTGTCATTTTTTTTCCAGGAACTTTCAGTTAGTTATTTTTAGGCTTTTTAACTCGGTGGAAACAATGTATTGAGATGACTATTGTTCAGAAGCAATTAATTATTTGTCACATGGACAATTTATGTGGAGATGTCTTTCTTTTGTTAAATATTTGTAATTCTTGATAGTTGATATCTTTGTTTTAATTTTGATTGTCATGCTATACCTGATAGTTAAGCTCTAAATGTCACACAGTTTAGAAAACTGGAACCATGGAGAAGGCAACAATACTTGATTAATCTATATTTAGCCTCCTGAATTTACTGTGCATTATTGTTTTCTATTGAATTCTGACATATGTTATTTTTTGTCTTCCCCTGATGTTGACTTGGTTTACTTTGTAGGTAGCGATGTTAAAGAACTCATGTAGATTGGCACTCAAGGAACTGAAGCATTGGATGATGCCAGAAAAGGTAAATTTTTATGATAACTCTCAAATGGGTGGAAGCTTTTTATTAAGGTTTCTTATTGATATTAAAAGAGTTGAATATGATTAACTTGCCCTTTTTCTCGCAGGCAAAAACTTCATTGACTACATTTCCTTCGTCTGCTGAAATTGTATCTGAGCCATTGGGTGTTGTGTTAGTAATCTCAGCATGGAATTATCCTTTATGTAGGTTAAACATCCTAATGGACATGTTCACTGTTATGTTTTTCTGTCTTTTTCTTTTCCTTACTTTTAATTATTGTATCTCTTCTTTCAGTGTTGTCTCTTGATCCAGTTGTTGGAGCTATTGCAGCTGGTAATGCTATAGTCTTAAAGCCATCAGAAATTGCTCCAGCCACTGCATCATTGCTTGTGAAGCTGGTAGCCAATTATTTGGATAGCTCTTGCATAAAGGTTGTTGAAGGGGCTGTTCCTGAAACATCAGCACTACTGGAGCAAAAGTGGGACAAAATATTTTATACAGGTCCTTGCTCATTTATCATCTGATACGTTCTCTTCTAGCTTGATCTTTTATGTCTTAATTAATAAACACTTGGACAACTGCATTTTAGGTTCATATGTGTATCATGCTTCAAGAAGTTTGTTATAAAACTGGGTGTTGGATAATGTAGCTTTCTTTTACTTGTTACCAAACAGTTGGGTGAAGGATTGGATTTGAAGTCTTATATGTCTGCTGTGTCTGCTGAGTGTTGTTTTGAGACTTTATCCGTTGTGGGGAAGAACTAGATGGTGACAATTGATGACTTAATAGAATTTCCCTTTTAGCATATAGTTTAGATGTTTCTTTGTAGCTTCTATCTGGTTTAGATCACTCTGTGAATGAATGCAGTGTTAGATGCAAAATCAAGTATACGCCATTTCTGGGGGGTATTTCAGTATTTTTTTCAATAGCTTATTGTGTAAACACTTTTTGTAGATTCTCTTGGCAATCGTTTTTCTTTTAGAATTTATGTTGATAGTTTGTGACTATAGTTCTACACTGGCTGCCAGGCCAACTTACTGTAACTCTCATCCTTTATCCCGTTTGGGACTGCGAATTATAAAGTACAAAACCTTAGGACTTAGTGAGTTGGGCTTTTTACTCTCAATTCAACATAAACTTTTTCCCATCCTTGGTGATTTAATTAGATGGAAGTACAAAAAATCCTCAATGGGACAATTGAAGGCTGTTGTATGGTCCCTTTGGTTGGCAGAAGCTAATGTATTCCCATGAGTGTGGTTATGGATAATTGCAACACTTCAACTGGTCAAGACTTTATTGGAACAATGAAGTACAGCTGGCCTAATGGTGCTCAAAAGTTTCTCACTTTGGGATCTGGAAAGAATTGAAGAGGGCTTTGGAGATTGCTTTCCGGGGTTTGCTTTGGCATATTAGATTTATTTGATGCTTTGCAAAGATACTGGTGTGTTGATATGCTGTTTTGGATCCTCTTTTCAGACATGGAATATCACTATGTATTAAATTGATTTTTCAAAATGATGAAAACTTGTGGCAAAATTTTGGTGCTCTCCCAGAAGTTCTAGTTTTTGGTGTATGGTTGATGCTTTAGACATTGTCATGCTATAGTATTTCTAATGTCATTTTAGTTCTGATAAAACTTATTATGAATCAAAACATCCTTGCATTTTTAGGCAATGGAAGAGTTGCACGCATTGTGATGGCAGCTGCTGCCAAGCATTTAACACCAGTTGTTTTGGAGCTTGGAGGAAAGTCTCCAGTCATTGTTGATTCAAGCATCAATTTACAGGTAAGCATAGCGTTTATTTTGCCACTATGTCTTCTTTCTTTGTGACTTAAATATTGACATTTTTTTTTTGTATTTTCAGGTTGCAACTAGGCGGATAATTGCTGGCAAGTGGGGATGTAATAATGGACAAGCATGTATTTCTCCTGATTACATTATTACAACAAAAGATTATGCTCTGAAGTTGGTAAAGTTGCCTGTATATGTTTAAATTTGTAACCCATTCGTTTCAATCATCTTCTCAAACACTTTTTATCCTGCAGGTAGATTCTTTCAAATGTGAATTGGAGAGATTTTATGGAAAGAATCCATTGGAGTCAAAAGACTTGTCTCGCATAGTGAATTCTAACCACTTTGCTCGCTTGTCAAAGCTCTTGGATGAGGACAATGTTTCTAGTAAGATCATCCATGGAGGTGAAAGAGATAAAACAAACTTGTGAGTTCTAACCTGGGTTTTGTTTCCTCTCTTTTTAATTGCACTGGGCATATTTACACTGTTCATATGCTTTTCTTTCTTCCAATGGCAGGATGATTACTCCTACTATCTTGCTTGATGTTCCACAAGATTCTCTGATCATGAATGAAGAGATATTTGGTCCGTTGCTTCCAATTATCACGGTAGGAACTTTAAGGGGCAATTACACTCAATTTTTTTGCTATTTATTTTTTATTTTCTTTTAAGTTTCTGCTGTCTCTATCCTGTAGCATTCTCCTTGAAAAATCTAAAGAGTCCAAACCTTTTTTATTGCTCAAGCAAAATAGTGCATATCCTTTTCTTCAAATGGAACACGAATGATAAGACCTGTTTCACATGTACTAGCAATGCAATTTATGAAGTAACAACTATAGCAATACTTTTCTGAAAAGCTTGCAAGGGAAAAGTTACAGTTCTTTCTACATGTGAATAGAGAGATCTAATTGCGGCTGTAGCAGCTTGTTCTATGATTTTTCTGCATGAAAACTGCCCTGGCAGAAACAAACATGAATCATGTATGCTATAGCTCAGTAGTCTTCTACGTCAGTTATAGAGCTTGAATATAGGACATTTACCGTGGTTTTCTTGTGATTGGTTTATAACAGGTTGACAAAGTGGAAGACAGCTTTGATGTGATAAATTCTTCAGGAACAAAGCCACTAGCTGCATATCTGTTTACCAATAACAAGAAGCTAAAAGAGAAGTTTGTTGCAACAGTCTCTGCAGGGGGTTTGGTTGTCAATGACACAACCGTACATGTAATTATACTTTTAACTCTTGGAATCTATGTGGACATGCATGCATTATTACAATTTACATCAAGACATATTTACCTTCAAAAGTGGTGGTATTTTCCATGGCTAGGTTATAAATGATCCCTCAATTTGGCTAATGAGAGCATACTCTGTATGTGTTCTGATGGTTAAATTGGTAAATCCAACACAAGATGCATAAATGTAAGGTGGTTATAATAGATTTTAAATACCTTTGGGGAAATTATTCAGTCAAAAAGAATTTCTAGAATGAATTTAGTGCGGGAAAACATAATCTTCTAAGGATATTAGTAGACCATTTTTAGTTTAATGATAGGTAAAGGATCAGATTTTGTGTACTGCTCTTATAATCTTGTGTCAAGGGCCATCATCGCTAGTAGGGTGAAAGCATTGATTCATGGAAGGTTGTTTCTTTTGATACTGCTATCCTTCATCATCATACATGGATTTGGTGCTCTAAATTATACATGCTGATGTTAGATATGGTTGACTATATATTTTTTAGAGATTTCATTTACTTTTGCTTTTCTGCACAATTTTTTCGGAAGTTTTATTAGCAGATGCTACTATTTGCATCTTTTTGTTTACTAAATAATGTTGAAATTGGTTAAAACATATGATACATTCCTATTTGTCAAGCATGCACTTTTATAAATAGATTTTCACATTCTTATTGAATAATAGAAGTTGTATAAGTGATTTGCACCTGAGATTATTTCAGCTAGCTGAACACACCTTACCATTTGGAGGAGTCGGGGATAGTGGAATGGGTGCATACCATGGGATATTCACCTTTGATGCTTTTAGCCATAAGAAGCCTGTTCTTTACAGAAGTTTTGCTGGTGATGCATTTTTGAGATACCCACCATACACGAAGGACAAGCTAAGATTGTTGCAGGCTCTTCTTGCTGGTAGTATCTTAGGCATTATTCGTGCTTTGCTGGGATGGTCTTAGCCTTAGAAGACGAGGTATGCCTGTCTATGTTGTAAGTTTTCATTTTTCACTTATGTAATAATGTGACTCAAGGCACTCATTTCATTCAGTTTGACAAAGGTTGATTGTATGCAAGACTAAAGGTAAAATACGTAATTGGTTTTCAGTATTTTCCCTTTAAATCAATGTGATGTACAGCTTCTAACTTTACATTTCACAATGATGAAAGGGTGAAATTCTGTTGCAAAACACAAAATATCCACAGGAAAACGAAGTCTGGACTCCTAATGAAACTAAACATATTCATCAACCAGAATCCCCTAACATACTAACCGCAGCAGCTCGTTGTTCATGTGTGAGCTGTGTTGGAAAGTTAATCAGGAACAAAACTTTCGAGTTTCCTCTGCTTCCCTGTTCTTTTGTGTTTGGCATACCCTGACCCATGATTATCCTTTGGGATCCAGGGTGAATGATTTCATCTATTTTTAGTTTCATCTTCTCCCCACCCAGTAAGGGGATGGGTAGGCTGCAACCAGTCGGAGCTTTTACTAGAGGAATTTCTATTGTCAGTTCCAAATCGTCACCTTTTCTTCTAAACATGTTATGTCGTTTCTCAGCAATCACAAAAGTTACATCAGCTGCATAAGATCCTGGTCTCTCATTTCCCATTCCTTCAATTGTAATCTTTGTTCCTTTCTTCCATCCTGGCTTCACTTTTATCGATAGGATCTCCTCTTGAACTACTTGCCTGCCAATGTAACAATATCATTTCAGGTTTTAGCGTACAATGCGATTTCGAAATCGCAGACAAAATCAAGAGAATGTTTTACGATTACAAACCTAGATTCTGTAAGAACGCCTCTTGTTATCTTAATCTTCTTCATACATCCATAGCACAAGTCTTCAAGCGTGCATTCGAGTTGCCTCTCAATAGGTGGAGGCTTCACCATCCCTGTTGAGTTTGAAAACATGATTGGATTGCCGTTCCTGCGGCTCGAGTTCTTGACAGGGTCTCGGGGAATCCATTTCTATCTGTGCTTCTCAGGCTTCCATTCCTGTATACAAAGGAAGGTCTTGGGCTGGGGCTCCTCTTGCTTGCATTTCTTGAGATAGAAGAAGGGATGGAAGAAAAGAAAGTGTCCATGCTTCGATGCTTGTAACAAGCTTTAGAACTCGTAGGACAATCCCCTTGAAATCCATCTAACTCGATACATGTTTCCTTCATCCTGATCCTCGTTTCCAGGGCTCTAGAAATGAAAATTCTCTCAAGTTTAAAAGCCGAAATGAGGATTCAAAGAATCAAAATCAAGTCCTCTACGACCAATTTTCATGTTAAAGAGATGACAAATGATATTCATAAATTCTAATTTGATTGTTTTGTTACCTTTCCTTGACAATGTTTAATTTTAATGTTGGAATTCCATCTTTTTTTTGGGTTTGAGAAATCCAGAAGTAGATAATGTGCTGTGTTTCACTGACTGCATTCAATATTAACACTAACGAGAAATCATTAGTAATTCTCCAACCCACACGTTTAATAATGAGGAGAGTAATTAACAACATATTTTGAAGATAATTCCGGAATATTTGAGGTTATTGTAGAATGCATGGAAATTAATTTGGAAATACCTGGAAAGGTTCCTGGATGGTTTGGTGTCCGGAATGAGCTTCGTCAGAGGCAGATTTCTTATGACGACGCCATATTCGTAATGCAAACAAAGATCTATAAAGTTTGGTAGGGTCCCGAAGGCTGAAACCTTTCTTCTTTTGGTTAGAATGGTGGCACATTCTTGGTTTAGATGATCTACCATGAGAAACAAAAGGTGGAAGCAAGAAGAGGAGGAGGGAGGGCATAAACTGACCAGATACACAAGCAATTGTACGGTGAATTAACCAAACGTTTAATTGTGGTTGTTTTCTCATGCTGGTGCCCTTTATTAGCACAAGCCGTTACCAAGAGATAGGGAGCCTATCTTTTAATTTTTCTGTTTTTTCTTTTCTTAAGTTCCATACTTCAGTCAAATATTCATCAAGAACTAACAATAACATATCCGAAATTTTGTTCGTCAAAGACCAACAAATTTTGGAGCCGAAAATATTGAGCATTTCATTCAATGAAAATCGTATATAATGTTTTTTTTTTCTCAATTAAAAAAATTATTTAACTTTCAAATCAAATACCCAAAGATAGTTTTTCCGGCTAGGATTCACTTTTAGCTTTGGAAAGCAAGTTCGATTTCGTTAATATTGCATTAACAGTAATTGTGGTTATTAGTTTTTTTTTTTTTTAATATGTAGTGTTAATAGTGACATAATTTGTTGGTAAAGTGTCAAATTTTTAATTTTAAAAATTTGACAATATCAAATGAAAAAATGTATGATAAAATTAAATGTTCCAAAAAAAAAAAAAAAGACACAGTGCTAAAACATATTTGTTTGAAGAAAACACAAATCTCTAGTTTCTCAATTTGTTTCTCACTAGATAGGTGAACTATGTTCAATATTTCTAAAAATAATTCAAGAAACAACCCGCTACTACAGAATCGTTCCAAGAAAGCAAAACACCAAGGAAATGAAAAGGATGAGGAAAAAAAAAAGTAGCAAGTTAGTAATCAAAATGCCCAATAATTAGTGCCTAAAGGTGGTTTTGCGGTGTGTATTGGTAAACAAATATATAATGACCAAAGATGAAGCGAGGGGAAGGATTCTTACCACGATAAACAAACAAAATGACATTAAAATCTTTAATGGCAAAACCACGTTTCAATATTATTTTTATTCATTGGATAAGGGATAGAAGATGATGGGATTTAAACTTTTACCTTACGATTAGATAAAATATTAAAGACAATGACATTTCAATATTATTAAAAACCCTTTTCATCTAAATAAAATAAAATATTATAATTACTCTAGCTAATAATAATAAACAAAAATAAAAAATTTTGATAAATTTTAACACAAGTATTTCATACACTCTGAATTTAAATCAAATATATCATAAGACCAATGAATATTGTTGGTGTGGTATTATTTCATATTTAATGAATATTTAATTTTATGTACTCTTATATTTAAATTGAGTTTATTTATTTATTATCAATTAATTTTAAATTAAATATTTAATTTTGTTATTTTTTAAAAATTTATCACGTAATAAATTTTTTTTATTTTTATCTATATATGATAAAAGTCTATTAATATGATATTATTTTACATCTAATAAATATTTATTTTTTTATAATTTTATATTTAAATTAAATCCCTTCCCTTATTATCATTTAATTTTAAGTTGAAATTCTTAATAAAATTTTAATTTCATTAGTGTTTTGTTTTTCAATCTGGGGAAGGGTGATTTGAGCAGGCAAATACATGTACCACTTACTCTTGTCCGTTCGGCCTTTTGTCGATGGGATGGGCCTACCATTTGCTCACTCTCGGATATGAACTTTTCAATTCAATTATTTTCTAATAACACCCTCCATTCTTAGAAATCCCACTTTCATCCATTCTATCACACCCGTAAAGCTAACTTTCATTTAAGTTGTTTTATAACAATGTGAACTTAACTTGAGGTTTGAACCAAATAGGTAATACTATAGCAAGGGAAAGGTTTGGTGCAGTGGTTATGGCTCATAAAAGAAGTTGGAAAATCTGTGCATGCATGAATTATTGGTGTCATTTTGTCAAGGGTTTACCTTTTATTTATGACATGGAGATTAGATTTTTTTTTAGGTTATTAGGATTTAAATTTAATTATTAAAATCAATAATTTAATAATTTATTAGTAAATCAGATGAATAAGATTGAATTTTTTTTTAATAGCATTTGTTTGTATTTAGTCTCCATCATACAACTTTGCCCTTTCTTGAGGGTTTTTCCTTTTTTCTTTTTTGGGTTCTTTTGTCTTTGCAATATTTACTTGAATATATATTTTTTTGGCTTAAATAAATTATCATTTTCATTGATGAAACAGGCACTCTTATCATGAAAAAAATACTGTAATTAATTTTCATTTTCATTAAAATACTGTAATTAATTTTTTGGCCCAAAAAAACTTAAATAGATAATCATTTTCCTTACCATTTTAATTAAAATCAATTATTGATTTTTAAAAATTAATTATTAATTACTGTAATTAAAATTTTAACATTTTATCCATTCTGTCTGTAAAAATTATTAAAAATTTAATAGATTACATGATTGTCTGTAAAATCTTAGAGTTTAATTATGAAACAAGTAAAACTCATTGATTCTACATTTAATTACAGTAATTAATAATTGATCCCAAAGCAACATAACAAAATCACAAAACAGTATGTCAAGTCAACTCCCAAAGTCCTCCCCAAGCTACTTAATCCCCAAGTTAAAGACCAAAGACTAATGAACAGAATTAACAAAAAAAAAAAAACAAAAAAAAAAAACAAAACTAAAATCTGCCCCACAAAACATCGGATCTAGATAAGCCTGCCATCCCACATATTTCATATTCATCTTCAATTTTTTTATAATTAAACAATATACATCTGAAACCTAATTTTACCAATTCCCGAGTCCATGTTCATATGCTTTTTAAATGACAAATTTGACCATTTTTTTTTTTCATATGATAAATTAAAATTTTAGTTCCACTGACGTGATGAAATTTTTATCATCATTCAAACAAAACTTGAAACTATCAAATCCCAAATTTTAAACCTGTCTAAATCCTCTCTCATTTTTTTTTTCTGTCAACTTTTCTACTTAAAAATTAAAGTTTAAAAAAGATGTTATTTAAAAAGATTGAAAATAGGGCGCCTATAAAAATAGTAGTCACAGCCAAGAAGTCACCTTAATACCTTCCAAACGAAGTTCTTAGAGGCTTCTTTGAATCTTTTCATAAAAAAAGAAATGGACTTTTAAGCATCCTTTTGGCCTCTGATTCCTGAAAATCCATTCTTTTGATTTCCTTTTATTCTTTTTGGGTTTTTTGATCCAAATATGGCTGATCAGAAAATGAAAGGTAGAACAGTATCATTGATGACCATGGTGTTCATCTTTCAGGTTCTATTTGCACTTTTACATGGCTGTTTTGCAGCATCCAGAAAAGGTCAACCACCTAGGAATGGAACTACAGTCCATCCAACGGCTGTTAATGGTTTTGGCTCCTCAGTTTTTCTTTCTGTTTCTGGCAATGTCTATCCTCTCGGGTATTTTTTTTTTCTTTTCACTTTTTTGTTGTTTTGAAACGTTGGTTTTGTTTAGTTTCTTGTTTTATCTTAGTTTCTTGGCTTTAGCTAATAAGTTAGTTCGTTTTGTTTGATTGTGTGTTGTTTTCACTGGGGATGAATACCTTGTCTTTTTTTCCCAAAAATTTCCCCTATGATCTCCTCTAATCACTATAATTAAGTTCTTGGGTTTGTACTTCTTTTGCAATTTGATTGTTCATCATAATTTGACTTTGCATTCACTATTGTTTGGGTTCCCTTTATATCTCTATATTAGATTATAATTACTGAAATTTAAGGAATTCCTATTTCTGTAAATCATCAGGTACTATTCTGTGACAGTTGGGATAGGCAACCCACCTAAGGCTTTTCAGCTTGATATTGATACTGGAAGTGACCTCACTTGGGTCCAGTGTGATGCTCCTTGTACTGGTTGCTCTCTGGTAAAATTTCTTACTCCAAGATAGCAATATAATGATTTGTATGAAAAAAAAAAAAACTGTTATAGGTTCTTAACTTCTTATGGTGCCTTTTATCTTCATTTTTGCAGCCTCGTGACCGTCTATACAAGCCTGTTAATAGCAAATTCCTGCCTTGCAAGGATCCCGTATGTGCTGCACTTCACTCTCCGAAACCACACCAATGCAAGAAGCTAAATGAAAAATGTGGCTTTCAAGTTGATTACGCTGATCATGGTTCAGTTCTTGGTGTCATTGTCTCAGACAACTTTCCCCTAAGCCTTGTCAATGGCTCCCTTTCTTCTTCCTTTTTGGCCTTTGGGTGGATATTTCCAACTCTCCATCTCAATTTACAACCTTTGAATTTTGGAAGTGATTTAAACCATTTCAATAACTGAGAATTTTGTCAATTTTGATCCAATTGAAAATGGCATGTTTTTGAAGTAAAATGTTGAAATTTGTAAAGTTTGTGCATCATGTTTATATGAGATAGCTAATGGTATTATGTTTTTCCTCATCTGGCGCAGATGTGGATATCGCCTACAAAATCGAGGTCCACACACTCCCCCTACGACTGCCGGAGTCCTTGGGCTTGGCAAAAGTAAAGCAAGCATCTCATCACAATTGAGTGGCATGGGAATAACAAAAAACGTGGTAGGTCATTGTCTCAGTGGACAAGGAGGAGGGTTTTTGTTCCTTGGAGCTGATTTTGTCCCTAAATCAGGAATGACTTGGTCACCAATGTTGCAAAATTCCTTCGAGTAAAAACTATCCATATCTTCTCTTTACTTCTTTAGTAATTTCATGTTACCTCTAACATTGGTTTAATTTCTTTCTTGTTGATTCATTTTCAGTAAACATTATTCTTCTGGTCCAGCAGAACTTCTTTTTGGTGGGAAGCCTACTGGTGTAAAAGGCTTTAATGTTATCTTTGACAGTGGATCCACCTACACTTACTTGAGTTCTAAAATTTACCAAACTGTACTTAATCTGGTGAGACAGAAACGAACATCAACGCACAATACCTTTTGAATGCAAACACATAACTGTAACTCATTGCTCGCTTGGTTTTTTCAGGTGAAGAAAGATCTAAGTGGAAAGCAACTACAAGATGTGAAAGATAACGCTCTCCCAATCTGCTGGAAAGGTGCGAGGCCTTTCAAATCTGTGCAAGATGTTAGGAACTATTTCAACAGCTTTGCGCTGAGTTTTACAGGCGCACGTAACATTCAGCTACATTTGCCACCTGAAGCTTATCTCATTGTCACTGTAAGTACCTCTGAAACCTTCTACAAGGAATCAAAACAAAGTGCAGCTCTAGGAAGTAAGATAATGTAACAAGCTCATCCTTGTCAGGAAAAAGGAAATGTTTGCCTTGGAATTTTGAGTGGCACTGAAGCAGGACTGGGAACTAGCAATGTGATTGGAGGTAAGAGCTTTTTAATAGAGCAAATAGCTTGATGATCTGTTAATTTTCTTCTCCTTTACTTGGAATGTAACTTTGCCTTGTTGTTTTCTGTTCAGACATTTCATTGCAAAACCAACTGGTAATATATGATAATGATAACCAGAGGATAGGATGGGCTTCTGCAGACTGTACTCGCAAGCTTCGCGGATTGTGAATCTTTTCTCTTGTAATATGCAATACGAAACTTGCATGCAAAACTAAATAAAATGACTGAATAAATTAAAAGGTGGAAAATAGCTCCAGTCTTTGACGAAGGGCTCATTCCCATGATTCTTCTGTTTGATGATTGATCGGAAATACCTGATGGATGGAGGCAATACTAAGGGCTTTTACACAAGACATTGCAATGTCCTTTGGTATGTCTTGTGCAGTAAGGTTAGCTTTAGAGATTTCCATATCCAAGAAAGATAGATGCATCTTTCACTGTTCAAAGTAAAAATATATCCATATATATTTGAAGAATGAAAAGTCTAGTATGATCCTGACACAAGGATCTCTCTCAGTTACGAAAACCCTTGAGATCAAAAGGGGGATACATGAATGATCTTTGATAGATTTCTTCACCCATTTCAAACTTTACAAAACTCCTTCACTTTGGGTCACCTCAAAGCCAATCAAAATATCAAGCTACAGTTTTGTTTGGAGCTGATCATGGCTTTGGCCTTCTCTATCTCTCTCTTCTTTTTAGCTAGAAACAATGTAATATAAGTGAGTATCATCATGTTTGAAAGGAAACTTCTCAATCATTTTAAATACAATTAGTCAATGACCCATCATCATCATCCTTTTTCTTTTTTTTTGGAGGAAACATCACTGCCACATTTGAAAAATATTCATGACAAGAGTTTTCTTTCAACTTTCTTTAGTCTATTATATTCATTTGAATTATTATTATTATTTTCATTGATTACTCTCCAAGGTTTTTAAAGTATTCAGAAGTAGTTTCCTATCATGTGAAAACATGTGAAAATCGGTGAATGACCCTTAATCAAAGATTGAGACTTGTTATTAAAATGGAATAGATTTTCCAAAAGTTGAACAGACCCGAAGAATCAGGGATGACAACGGATCGGATTGAAACGAATTTTTCTTCGTTTCAAACTCAATCTGACTTCAAACATGTAAAATTCGATCTTCGACTCGATTCGATAATTTTTTAGTATTTTTATATCTGAATTCGATTCGATTTGATATTATATAAAATTATATCTGATTCGACTCGATTCGAAATTAATAAAATATTATTTTTAATATAAATATAAAATTAAATATATAAATAATTATAAAATTAAATAAATAATTAAAAAAAATTATTTTTATATATATATCGGGTCGAATTTGTCTAAAACAAGACCCCGACCTTTTCTCATAATATCCGATTCGATCTGATATTCGATTTAAAAAAAAAAAATCGACTCTGATAAATCGGGTCGGATCGAAACTCGTCAGATACGAATTTTTTTGCTTTCTCTACGAAGAACCCATCTTTAAAAGACAACTTTACCCTTGCCAATCCCACATTAGTATTAAATATGAAGGTCAATTTCGACTATATATTTCCAGCGTAAAGAAAAATCAAAGCTATTGTATCGCTTTCAAATGCTATCTAATAATATAACCATTTGGATTCAAATTGATAAAACTCGGCTTAAATTTCGTTAATGAAAGTTGAATTAATCTATCTATATTAAACAAGAAATGATTTTACGTTAACATGAGTCACCATTAATTAACATGAGAAAAAAATACATATTAAAATCTAATATTTTGATTCACATAATTATTTTAAAAAATATTATTTAATAAATTTTATATTAAAATATTAATACTTTCTATTCTTTCATTTGATGCAACATGTGAAAAAGGTTAAAAATAGACTTCTAATTGAAATTAAAATAAAATCTAAAATGAATTTTTTTAATTTTAAATAAAATAAGAAAAATGAAGATTAAACTTCAATAGTAATAAACACGATTAAAAACAGTTTAAGTCAAAATTATAAGTGAATTTATTGCTTTCAATTACTCCTTTAATTAAAAATTTTTGCTTTTTCAAAAACTTTGTTTCCTCTTTGTTCCTCAAAGTTCCAAAAATCTTTTTGCCTGTCTAAAACAAGAAATATTTTATTAGTAAAAAACACGTGGACGTAGTACGAAGTTGCAAACTCACATCTATAAATGCACTAAACCCCAGAGCTGAGACTCAGGGAAAGTAGAATAAAATTTTCCTCCTTGCTGTATCTTTTCTATCTCAAAACTCTCCCTTTTTAATCCAAACAAAACAAGTCTTTTCCTTTTTTCTTGACTTTTTTAGCTTCTAAGATTCCCAAGAATCCAACTTTCTCTCGATTGTTGGAAAAGATTTGATCAGCAGAAGAAGATGGATGTTAAGAAAAGGAAAGCAACAGTGCCACGGATGATGATGATGATGTTCTTTCTAGTATTGTCTGCAAATTGTCCAGGGTGTTTCTCAGCTTCCAGTCAGCAATCCAACAAGAAAAAGTCAACTCATCCTAAGTCTGTTAAAGGGTTTGGTTCATCTGTTCTTTTTCCTCTTACTGGGAATGTTTATCCTCTCGGGTAAGCTCTTCCTCTCATTTTCCTGGAATTAGGTTTGTTGAATTATGTTAATGTGGTTGTTAGTTCGCTTTTTGCATGTTTAGCTTTGTTTGTATAGTGAGGTTTTTGTTCATTTTCTTCTGAGTCTTGTTGATTAATTTGGTCAGTCATTGTTCTTGTTTTTGAGATTGTCTAAATTTTGGAAGTATCTTGAAATGTTTCTCCTTTGGGTTCTCTATTTTGATTTCTTGTATCTATTTGGTAAAACCACACAGGGTCTGTGGGAGTATGATTTCGTTGAAATACAGTTGTCCTGTTTCTCTCTAATATCTTTAGTACTATTCCTTTACCTTTCTCTCCAATAATTGAAAATCATGGAATTTATGCTTTCCCTTGAAACAATCTGCAGGTACTACTCTATATCCCTTATCATAGGCCATCCGCCCAAGGTTTTTGAGTTTGATATTGATACAGGCAGTGACCTTACTTGGGTTCAATGTGATGCACCTTGCACCGGTTGCGCCGAGGTAAATTTGTCACTAGATTTTGATTCCTATCATGTCCTTGATTATATCTTGTTATGTCTTTGTCTTTTTGTAGCCCATCGATCATCTTTACAAGCTCGAAAAACACATTCTTGTGCCTTGCGAGCATCCTTCCTGTTACGCGGTTCACTTCCCTGAAAGTCCTCGATGTGAGACTCCGGATGACCAATGGACTTCGAGGTCGACTATGTTGATCATGGTTCAGTTCTTGGTGTGGTGGTCACTGACCTCTTTTCCCTTAGACTTATCAATGCTCTCTTATTCGTCCCCATTTGACTTTCCGGTGGGTATTTTGCTCATTATCTCTATTAGCAACCTTAAAGTTTCAGTTTTGGTGATGGTTTTGATTCTAGCTTCCTGCTATGTTGAAATGGCTTCAGCTTTGGAAAAAGTATTCACTTCCTGAAAACCAAAATCATCTTGTCTTATTCTTTTGTCTACAGATGTGCTTATGATCTGAAAAATCCGGGTCCATACCCTCCTCCTTGAACAGCTGGAATCCTTGGCCTTGGCAATGGCAAAGCAAGCGTCTTGTCACAGCTGCAAAGCTTTGATCTTACAAGAAATGTATTAGGCGATTGTATAAGTGGGAAAGGCAGAGGATTCTTGTTCCTAGGAGATGATCTTGTCCCATCTTCAGGAAATGGTTGGATGCCAATGTCAGCTGACTTGTAAGAACTATTAAGTTCTCTGTCTTTTCTTCTGTAGCAACTCCGTCTCACCATTAACATTTGTTCTCTGCTTCCTTGATTATTTTATTTCAGTAAACACTATTTGTCCATTCCAGCTGAACTCCTTTTTGGTAGAAAGCCTACTGGTATAAAGGGCCTTAAAATAGTTTTTGACAGTGGGAGTTCCTACACTTACTTCTGCTTCAAAGTTTATGAAGCAGTACTTGATCTGGTAAGAAAATGATTGGAGGTGCTCTTCTGTTGAGAGCAATCTTTAAACTTCGTTTAAGGAACTGATCCCTTATTTCATGTTTCCAGTAAGGGGAGGCTTAAAAGGGCAGCCACTGGATATAGTGCATGATCAAGCTCCCCAATCTGCTGGAAAGGCACGAATCCGTTAAAATCAGTTCATGATGTCAAGAACTATTTCAGCCGCTAGACACTGAACTTTACAAACACCAGGAATACCAGGCTACAATTACAGCCTGAAGCATATCTTATTGTCACGTTGAGCACTGAATCCACGATTTTCCAGCAATATGATACAGGCAAGCACGTGAGCAGCAACACATCTACCATGCTTTTCTGTTCCAGGAACATGGAAATGCATGCTTAGGAATTTTGGATGGCACAGAAGCGGGATTGGAAGACTTCAACATAATTGGAGGTGAGAAATAATAGAGAAGAAAACAAGGGTTTCATGGTTTTCCTCCTTTTTTGGGTCCTTTATTAGCCAACTCTTCCTCATTCATTTTTTTTTTTTTTTTGGTTTGCTTCTCAGACATCTCATTGCAAGACAAAATGGTGATTTGTGACAATGAGAAGCAGCAGATTGGTTGGGTTTCTGCAAATTGTGATAGGCTTCCGAAGTCGCTGAACCATTTCATTCTGTTAGTTCTTTATAATATCATTGGCATTGTCTCACCAGTGTTTTTTTTCATCCTGTTATTAACAGTTTGGACAGCGATTATAATGAAGATTTTCTACAACCGTATGCAGACAATATTGGTTTCTTAGAAGAGAATTGTCCTGCAACACAAGCTTCGTGCAAGAGCAACTCAAGATTTTACGAAAGCGTGCTGTGACAAAGAAAAAACAAGAAAAAAAAAAAGTAGTAAAAGATGGGGCAAAACGGCTTCATACTATCATATGTAGCAAATTATGAAATGTAAATGGTTATTATCCCAAATACAACAGGTAATACTAATATTTGTTGCTGAAGAAATTCACATATATCCCAAGAAACCATGATATGTTTTCTGCTACACGAATTTCCGATATGGAAAAGATGCATCACCGTGCTTGTTCACCGAAGAAAGAATTATGATGGAAGAAGCCTAGGTCTCATAAATGAATCAATTTGGTTGGCTATTCGAATTTTTTTATTTATTTATTTTTTGGCCAAGCTATTGGATGTTTTAGTTGGGGCCTGAAAGTTGAAATAACTTTGCTCATCAACATAAATATATATGTATATATATATAATACATTTATTATAGGATAAAGGATTGAAGAATAATTGACTAGCAGGTGATATGCAACACTTGCAAAAGGATGATGTTGGCTTTGTTTTGAAATCATGAAAGAAATTACAGATACATGTTTGTGTTTATTCATATTTGCAAACAGATGTAATTCACTAATTCTAGTTCACTCCATCGTTGCTGATATTGCGGAAGGTGTCAGATAGTAGCTAATGGCCTGAACTGGTATGTTTACAATTTGCAGGTATCTTTTGAGTTTTGGGTGCAATGACACAAATATAAGCACAAATACAGCCATTTCCACCATTTAACAAGGCAGCACTTCGTGCCAAAAGAAGTACAATTTCATCACATTTCTGCAATGCCATTTTCCTCTAACATGACTCGCTAGTCTGTAAAGACTGATCTGTACAAAAAACTTCTAAACAGCTTTTATACTCCCTACACTTAGGCTTTGCTTGGTGGTAAGGATGAAACAGGATGAGAATGAAAATTTTCTTATCTAATGATTAAGCGATAAAGTAAGAAAGTGGTTATAAATTTTCACCACTAGATTAACAAATTTTTCATTCTCACCCTTTTCTATCCTTTCTACCAAGCAAAGTTTTAGGGAACCTCTCTAATTCTCTTTTTCATCTCCTCAAATTAATAAACAGCTTTTATACTTGACATCTTAAGCATTTACTACAAAACTGGACCTTCCATAGATATATAATACTTACACAAGCAAACCCAAACTCCTCCCTGTACCTGATAATATTAATATTATCCGTCCCCTATAAATTTCTGCACCTGATTTCATTGTGGTTACTTGCAGAGAAATGATCTTGTAACCCTTCATATGCTATCATCATTTGACATCCTGTTGGACCAGATAATCTCAATTTCAAGCGTTCTGGAAGACCCATCTTTGTTGCTATCATGATTCAGGCTGAATAAACCGCTATATACTCCCTCGGTTACGACTTTGTCAATTTGGATAGTCACTCTTCCTAGAGTTGTCTGCAAAAGCCAACATCTCCATCAGAAATCAGAAAGTAATACCTTTTGTAAGAGAGATGAAATATAACTATTAGCACTTTTGTCACTTTGAAAAGAAAACCGTTCATCTAATCACCAAGTTGCAAAGCATTGAGGTTGCAACAACTGAACTACAAATTCAGCACAACATTGGAAATATTATTTACCTTCCCAAAAGTATTTTTGCTTTTGCAGACTATATGGAGTTTTTGTCCCTTTGGAGGCACATCAAAAGCCCATGTAAAGCCTTCTTTCCACTCTGGAGAAGTACTATGGCTCGCGACCTAATCATAGTACAAAACCACTTGTAAAAGTGTGGGTATTGATAGTAATACAATAATATATAATCAGTAAGGGTATAATCATAAACCTTTTACTTCTCATCACATAAGAATAGTCTGATATAGAACCATGGTGCAGATCAGAAAATTTTGAAAAAACAATGAAATGAAATGCTTCAGAAAATATTTTGATGAATAAATGAAATGCTAAGCACTGAGCTTGCCGATAAGTTTATACCGGCAGGCTTCAATTTTTTTGAACAATAAGAGAGTAGAAAATCCCAACAAGGTGATGAAGTTATGCATGCCATAAATGCCTTATAAAGTGGTAAATTCAGAAGCCATCAAATAAAATAAGAAATGATAATATTCCAAACCTCTATTTTTCATACCCTGGCAAATGGCAATTAATGTAAAATGCATCACCATAAATAAATAAGTAAAGAAAAAGGCTATGATATGGAAATTTTCCAAGAATAAAGAACATGCTCCATTTCACATGGCCATAGACCAATCTATAGGTAGGATATAAATAGTTTATTTTCCAATGACTTTTAAATAGAACTGTTACCTCCGTTTGCCTGGGAGGACCATTGCCTATCGTCAATGGCAAAATGCATTAGTGGCTCCCATGGCTTGCTTTAGGTTGTTACCACGCTTTATGGTAACAGCCAAACACCCTGGTAAGCAGTGCAAAAGGCTGTCTGCTCTCTCTTGGAAACTTGTAGGACAGGTTTTCATCAGCCTTTGCAAAATAGGAATTGCTTCAGTAGCATTCATAGACTGAGATTTTGCAATTTCTATTGGCATGGTCGACCAAGAATGTTTTAACAAGCACAGGGTGTCCAACACAGCTTCCTGGGCACCCTCACTCCCAGACTTAAGTGCTTCTATGAGATGAGGAATACACAGAGTAGCTGCTTCAGAAATATGGAGCTTAGTAAAGTCGTCGAATATCACATTTAATGTTCTCAAGACTTCCTCATTAATAGTTGCAGCAGACCACAATTCTCTCTCTAGGGCAGCTGCACAACAAAGTGATTATGCATTTCAATATTAAAATGCATTGTTGAGAACCGAGACAGGAATTTGTACAAAGAGAAAAGTAAAAACTTAAGATTCAATGATTCATCTAGACACTTTTAGTTGAAACCAACAAATTATAAGAACAAAAAATTTGTTGCAATATTATATCACCTGTCAAATATCTGATGAGCTCGTTTGAAAGTAAAAGTTCCTGAATTACTAATATGCCACCTGCTTCAGCAACTGCTCGCCTATTAGTTCTACGCCGCATCACAAAGTTCTGTAATGCACAAATTGCAACCATTTTCATGTCTTCTGTAGGTTGATGCTCAAGCAAGCTTACAAGTGCACGGCATGCAGAAACAGAATCTCTGGCTCTAGCATAGCCTTCATGCAGGGGGAGGTCTCCAAGAGCTAAAGATGCTAGGAGCCTGCCAGACTCTGACCTTGTCTGTGGGTCTAACAGATACTGTGCTAAGGGTGCAATGGCATACCTAGAAACCTTCATTTCTCGTACCCTTACATTGTTAAATAAAGCTTCAAGAAGTCTTCCAGATGCTTCTTCACACTGGTGAGATCTTAGTAGCTCCAACAACGCATCTATAGCTCCAGCTTCAGTCATCTGTTCAACACTTGAAGGATCACTCCTTTCATGGACAATTAAGGCATTAAGAGCCACAGTAATGGTGCCCTCTAGTGTGGAGTGCAACATTTTGACCAGAACTATTAAAGTAACTTTAAAATAGTACTCGGCATTGAAATGCAGAACATTGGAGAGAACCAAAGCAGCTGATTCCCAAAGTGCATGAGGAGGCTGAGGATCATCTTGAATGATGACCTTTGCAAGCTCAAAAATACCTCCGGCATTAGCAACTGCTTTCGGCCAACTTGCAGAGATCTTTTCCAAAGCTTTAATGGCTGTTTGCTGCAGATTCAATATTCCAATTCCTGCAAGCTGCACCAGGGGCACAACTGCATTTTTTGTTGTGATGTGTTGCTGAAAATGTTCCTGTGCGAGAAGATGAGTCAATAATTCTGTTCCAAGCTGCTGGATAGATTGAGATAGCGATTCCAGAAATGAAATCAGAGGCTCAATGACTTGACTGGGAGTCAATTTTAGAGTTGCAAGGCTTTGTGGCTTCTCCAAGATATTTACAAGTGCTAGCAAGGCACCGTGCTGTCCCCACAAACTGAAATCTGAACGAAATAAAACCAAGAAAAGAGGCTCTACTATTTTTGCTGCATCTGAACTTCTAGCAATTGCATTACTATTTGTTAAAATACGGAACAACTCCGCAATTGAGGAGCACAATGAACTGGACGCAAAAGGGAGTACCTCAAGACAATTAGCAATAATGCCAGCTTTGACCATGTCTAATTTGCATGGTGTGCGGTCTTTCCCCAACTTTATGAGTGCACGTATGCTGGCCTCTATAAGCTGAAGGTTTCTCCCAGAAATCAAGCTAACAAGGAGATCCACAATGTCATATGATGCTGCAAGCTCCACCTGCTGCTGCTCATCTAACAATCTCTCGAAAGCACAGACTCCAGACTCCACAGCTATACTATTATCAGACATCATAAGAGAAATAAGGGGCTGTATGCATTCGGAGGCTATAGGATTTGCTCTAAATTTAATATTTCCGAAGAGAGCAGAACAAAGTTGTGCAGCATTTCTTTTCAATTCCAAAGATGAAGCAGAAGATAAGATTTTGTATAGACTCTCAAGTGGGTAACCTTTCATGTCAGTCATTATAGCTGCTTTTGAAGTATTTCCTGAAGTTAATTTGATCAAAGCCACAACAGCAGCCTCTTGCTCACTCTCTGATGCAGCACAAAGCATGTCAACCAGTGGTTGCCCAGCCTGCCTGGCTAATTCAGAAACTCTAACATTTTCAGCATCAAAAATTTGATGGAGGGCCCTTGCAGCACTGAATCTAGCATATTTTGAACCCAGGCGCAGAACAGCTATAAGTTGATTCAAGGAGCTAAATGACGCTTCATATCGAATAAGATCCTGATTGCCAAATAATATTCTGAGTAATTCACATATATCAGCCTCTGTTGAGTCTTGAGGGCTCAAAGACAAATACTTTGTTAAAGCATCAAGAGCTCCAGCTTCACCCATGATTAATTTATTTGTATCACTTCCATCTGCAATGTGGGTTAAGATTTGAACAGCAATTGGAGGGGCTCCAGGCCGATCTGGTATTGGTCTCAGGAGATCCACTAAAAGAGGAATAGATTTCCGTGCAGTAGAGCCAACTCTCACATCTTCAATTTCAAAAAGATGTTCTAGAACAACTTGACCAGGATTTTGTACCAGAGAAAATTCTTTAGACAAAGTAACTAAACTGGGCATATCTGATTCCATGTAGCCAATCAATGTTATCAACCCAGCAACAGAACCTGAATTTGCAATGACAAGATTTATTCCCTTGCTTCCATTACAAACTAGACTAGCCATTGCCTGAGCAGCAAAATATCTGTCAATAACTTCTTCAGATCTCAGCAGAAGAGCAAGTGAAGGTATGATGCACATGGTTGTAGTAGACAAAACAATATTTGCATCTTGGAACAAAACAGCCAGAAGCAGGGCACTAACCCATATACCTTCTGTATCCTCGAATTCTGCCTGCAAAAAAATGTACACTTTTCAGCTAGGCTACCAAAATCTTCAGAAGCAATCTTATGTACCAACATGCATGTTGGTATATCATATCAACAAAAACAAAATTAAGCACTGATTCCAAGAATATGGAAATTTACATTATATTTTATCTATTCAACACACATGTTTCCACTTTCACTCCACAATCATGTCAACATTATATTCTTCCTCACTTTTTCTCATTCTCTGCAATTAATGTCCACAAAATACCTTTGTCAGTTTAGTTATATGCATCTATAGCCACATATTTCACTACCACAAATATAACTCGTCCTTGTAAATAAGGCATATAAGGCAACACTTGGATAAGCTCCTCTAAAAGGTATCTTTACAGCATATAACGAGTAGAGTGTAACCAAAATTCTATTTAAAGTTAGTGCAAATATTTAAGTTTGAAGATAATTTGTTCACTCTAAGAATAATTATATCCCAGTGTAATATTAAGAAGCATGACCTGAAAATTGAAAAGGAAAACCAACCTAGAGTTAACATATCTCACAGTTTCCTTCTAACTATTGATATGTTAGAGAGCCTAAAGTTTATCCAGGAAGTCCTTTTCTGAAATCAATCATGGATGTCGCCACAGAAGGTGTATGGTGTTCATCCTATAGTAAATAATGTAAGAGAGCAAAAGAAAAAGCTTGTTCAGCATCTACTACAGAGATGTGGATTCTGCTTTTAACATGAATATATATGTATATAGCAAGACCCATACCTGACGATTGGAAGCATAACTTGCAAGCTTGTCAGTGAGAACCTCAAGTCCACCAGCTTCCATTATGGTAATTCTGTTTTTTGAAAGGCAGGAAGACAGTATTGACAATAACCACAAAGCAACAGTTCCACCCACTATAGTAGTAGGATCAGTAACATCAAACTCCTCACCTTCGTGGAATGCAGTCATTTCAATAAATTCTCTTGGGGATCTGACCTCAATTTCTAAAGAGGTACATCTTGAATTCCTGTTTGCCATATCCACTAAAGCTTGTATTAGAGGTTTTAAATACCCAGACTGATCAAGTAAATCCAATGACTGCCGTTTGTGTTCTTTTACAGTACATGTAAGAAGTGCAGCCCCTCCAACTCTTACCTCCAAACTGGCAGAATTCATTGTTTTATTGGCTAGTGAACTGATAGATCTTGATCTTGCAACCAACAGATCACTGAGAACAACTGGTTGTTCCCCACAAAGCCTAGACAAAATTTCTATGGACTTATCTTGCAGTGGAGGAGGCCCCTCGGCAAGGCATCGCACAAGAGGTTCTAAACTTGATGGAGCCTCAGCAAGCGCATACCATGGTGGATAAGTTAAAGTCACACCCCTTTTTGTTCTAGACAAGATTGCAACTACTTCTAAAGCATCTGCAGCATCACTGGTGTCCATTTCCATTTCATTTAAGGAATCAATAAGTGCAAGAACAGAAAAATGACACTGATAATTTCCTATGAACACGTCACTTACAGGAAAATGCTTGAGTAATTGATGAAGAGCCCTTGATGCATTCTTCTTACCTTCTGAAGTTCCATCTCCCAGCGTCAAAGCCAAAACAACATCTTCAGCAAGTGCTTCTGCAGCAATAGGGAATCAGAGAGAAGATTGGCCAAGGCTGCAACAGCAGTTTCAGCAGCACCAATGAGAGAAGTTTTAGCTAATTTAATTAGAGGCTTGACATCTGATGCTGCAATGTAAGCCATCTTATTAGCAGTTTTGGAATTGGTTGGGCGAGACAGCGCACCCAATGCTCGAGCTGGTTGTGTTGCAACAACTTGAGTCTTGCTAGTCAAAAGCTTCATGCAAGGATGCACAATTTCATCAGTTGCAAGACTATCGCATATATCTTGTCTTGTGCTAAATAGATTGGCTAGGACAGAAGCTGAATGCTCTTGAGTTTCTTCATTTGAGGAGTTGAGAACCTGGACAAGAGATTTCAGCCCTTTGTTAGCAGCAGATCCCTTATGCACAAGATCCTCATGTAGTGCCATTGCGAGCACTTGGCCCAAAACTCTAATTATATGAGCCTTTGAGCTTGGAGCATCTCCTAGGAGCAAAGCTAATAACTGATTAATAGTGGCAGAATCAGCTGTTCGGACAAGCTTTGTAAGAGCCTTAGCCGATTCTTCTTGCCCTTTTGGTCCACCACTTCTTAAAAGCCATAAGAATGCTGGTACTGCACCTGCACTTTCAACACAGGCACAAATGTCTTCACTGTGACAGCATAAATTCCATAAAATATGTGCTGCATCCTCCCTTGCCTTCTGAGATCCCATCTCCAGTAACTGCACCAATGGAGGAATCCCACCAGCGGCAGTAATGGCCCACTTACTGTCGTCAACCTGATCAGTCAAGATGGCCAGCAACTGTACTGCATACTCTTGGTGCTGTTCACTGGATAAGCCCAACAATGATATGAGCAACTGAATACCTTCTCGGTTGCCAATAACTTCCCAAACCCCGAGTTTGTCATAGCATGAGCTGGTTAAAGAAAGTATTAGATGCTCTTGGACATCAGCAGCAGCCATTGCTATGAGTCCAATAAGCACCCTTGTTGCTTCTGCATGATTGAGCCATCCTGAGAGGTAGGTATTACCATACAAGCTTGCCATTGCCTCAAGGACACGATCTTGAACTAGCTTATTATAACAAGGCTTGAGTAACATAACTAATGTGTCCTCTATCTGTGATACATTAAAGGATTCCTCATCAAGACCAGAAATCTGCTCAAACACCATTAGAGCATAAGCAAGTGCTCCTACTATGTCAGCAACTGGCGCAGCTAAGCGAGAAGATTGCAATAGTTCTCCAAAATACAGCATCAAATCAGACATCCCTCCACATATATTTGATAAAGTTTGCGTTGCATGGCCCTGCAGAGCCTGGGCATGCACTCTTTAGAAGGAGCAACAACAGCCCTAATGAGAATAGGAACACCATTTACATCTACAATTGCCTTCGTCGCAGCACTTGATTTTGAAGAAAGAGCTTCCAAAGCATCTGCAGCACTTGAACGGACATAAGTATCATTATTCTCACCTACAAGCTGAAGCAAGGCTTTGACAGCTCCAGAATCTATAACTTTTGGGATGCTATCACTGAATGCCAACATCAATCGGGCCAAGAGGGAAGCAGCATTGGATTGAGCAGCAGCATTATCAGAAGAGAGAAGACCCACAATGATATCTACTCCTCCAGCCTTAAGCGTTGCTCTCCAATAGCCATCCTTCTCACCACAAAGGTTCCTCAAAGCTCCAGTAACAAATCCTTCTACCACTTTGTCCTGCTTGTTTGTTGGACTGAGTTGTTCCCATAAAGTTGGCACTACGCCCTCCGTAACAAATATTTTCATACCAACATGATCATCTAAACGACAACCGGAGGAAACTTCAAATATTGCCTCTGCTGCTGCCTTCCTGGCCTCAGTTGATTCAGAATTTAAAAGCAAGAGTAATGGCGGAATGCATCCACCTAGAAGCACCTTCAGCCGTAAGTCCTCATCTTTGCATAACACAGTCAGGATTGCAGCAACATTAAGTTTTGCTAAAGGAGTGCCACTCCTGAGAATGGATACAAACAATGGCATTGCTTGGCCATGAGAACCGATAAGTGTTCTTGCCTCCTTTCTTGCTCGGGCAATACCCAACACACGAGCTGTGATAAGTTCTTTCTCACTTGGTGAAGACATGTGGGCATGCAGTTGCTCAATAAAACGAGCAACTGTAGCCACTGCATCATTGGGATCACCCACTCCAGTGGTTCGATTTGATTCCCTGGATGTTAAACAGTAAATTCAGTCCACAATTAGCATTAACAGAATCAGAACAAACAATAAATTCCAGACCACTTAGAATTGTCAGAATAAATTAAAAACTGACTATCTGATCTTTCTGTTAATTAAAACTACATAGATGATTTCTGCAATTTGATTGCTATATTCATTTCTTTGTTTTCATTCAAATATTTCAGAAAACTCCCCGGCCGCATTAACTTACCTAGGCTTAGAAGAAGATGAGGGTCCACAATCTAGTGGTTCAGGGGAGGGAGACTTTGACATTACCAACAAAAGCCACTGTAGCTTGCTCCTTGACCTCCTGCGGAATCAGGTAAACAAATATTCAACTAAATGAACGCTGGATCAGTAGATGAAAGCCAGAAGGATCTCAAATATAGAACACAAAATGTTCATTCCAGCTCATTTTTCACATATTTCTTTTTCCAGTAAGCACATTCTATTGTGAAATACCAAATGTTCAATTTCACTACTCCACTCCAAACCTATGATTACAATATCAATAAGGAGGAGAAAGAAAGGGAAAAATTTCTTTTAAATGTAAAAAGGGACAATTTTTGGCGATTACCAATTTCCCTAATATGAAAACTTAACAGCTGAGGCATAAGTACATAACCAAATATAATCCAATACCATATTACATAACCAAATATAATCCAATACCATATCTTCCCAAAGAAGTAGATTAAAGCTGAATTAGCTGTCAAAATAATAACTTTACACACAAAGAAAAAAAAAAGGTTCACCTTTGCTGAAAATGCAAATGCCAAAGAACTCTCTCTTCTTATTACCAACCCCAAACCCACTTCTTCTCAGCAGAAGAAGCAGCATCACCTCTTTAATTCTTCACCATTTAACCCAATTTTGGCCCAGTATAACTAAAACCCAGAAAATGTAGCAATGCTACAGCAAAGGCTAACTGTCACTTCAAAAGAAAGTAGTAAAAGCTTTTTATTTTTTGCTCACCAAGTACCAAAATCAAAAACCCAAATTCCAAAACTGAAAATTGAGTGAAAAAATCAGATCTTTAATATAAACAAATGTAGAATTAAAGAAAATGAATAAGAGTATTATTATTATTCAATGCAAATGTGAGGAAAAAAAAATGAAAATTGAGAAAGAGTACCGAGAGAAGATCCCAATAAGGATTTAACAGAATCCAGGGCAAAGAAAAACAAGTGTCCTTGTCTTAACTGTCATAAATTTTTTCTTCAAAAAAAAAAAGAGTTATTTTAATAAAATTAAAAAAAAAGGGAGTACTACTGCTACCTTAAATTTCAGTGTACAAGAAAGAAACCAAACGAAATGAAAGCTACCCAAAATGTAAACACAGTCACTCACAGAAACAGAGGCATCAGTAAGAGTTCATGGAAAGAGAAAGAAAGAGT